GCTGCCAGAAAATTCCAACTTGAATTCTCCTACAAAAAGCACAGTCTCCAGCTTTACTTATTCCACTGTTTGTGGTCAATGTTTATTTCCTCTTTTTGGTTTGTTATTCCTTTCAGTAGTGGTTTTCAAACAGCTACATTTTTTTCTGTTTTAGCAGTTGGGTTAGACTTGATCCTCATGTTGTCACCATCTTCAACTAAAATTTAGAGCTAGATGGTATATTCCTATTTGTCATTAATTACAGCAGCATTACTTTTGCCTGCTGATAGACTTGTTATGGTCTCACTTTTCTTAAATTAAGTTCATGAAGGCACTTTTTCTGTTATTATGAGGTTTATATTTTATAACTTTGAGGACTGCTTATTTTATTTTGAATCTGTATTCTTTTTAGTAGGTATAGTTAAAATGGGTATTTTATTATATCTTAGAACAAAGTTTAGTTCTTTAATTAGTGCAATTTCTTCATGTTTTGTTAAAGGACATTTACTTGAATTTATTACTGTGCATTCTGATGTGTCTAGTATCAAGAGGCTTCTTGTTATAAGAATCAGTTAGTAAATTTAGTTACTTTATGTAAGTTTCCTTACTGTATGTGAATCTTGAAAGAATCTTGTTGTATTATCTATCTCCTTATATCTATAACTAATGTTATTTTATACTTTGTGCTTATTTATGTGGTGATATCTTGGAGCTTGATTAATTTTCTGAGTAACTCATTGACATAACGGGATAGGTGATTTAACATTAAATCATTAAGGTTTACATTCATAGAGAAAGGTGAAGTTATGTCTTTCAAATCTTTAAATTTCTTTTGAAGTTCAGGACAATACTTGGTCTTTAAGTACTTACAGTAAGGTTATAGTGATTGAATATCTGTCACTTTCATAGTTATTAGAGTCTACAATAACCTTCATTGAATTATTAATCCAATTATTAAGTAATTTGTATCCTACTTTTTCCTGCTGTAGTAACTAATTAATAATTAAACTTAGATGATTGTATAGCCTATACTACTGCCTTCATCTAATTATTAATTAGTTACCATTTGTTTTTCTACTAGATACCAAGTACTAATAAGTTTTTATTCCACTTTTTACTGCTATAGTAACTAATTAATAATTAAACTTAGGTGAACGTATAGGTTACTAACCATGAAAACAATTGATATCCATCTGGAACAACCTTGCTTTAAGTATTTGTTGATAGATGCACTTTATATATGTCATAGTATATCACCTGCTTATAGATTGTATGAAGTCACTAAACCATATATATGTAAGGCACAAACTCATGAAACAAGAAAAGTAGTTTAAATTATTACGCTATATTCTTCTCTAAGATTTGACAAGTGGTGATAAAGATGTAAAAATGGAATATTTGGAATTGTATATTATATTTGTGTGTGTGTGTATATATATATGTTTTTTGGAGAATGTTGTATACATTTCCTATATAATTTATAGTCCTACCATCCCATACTAATAAGCATCTATGTGTTTCTGAATTTTTTCTTCTTGTTGATTTTTCATATATTTAGTATTTTATTGAAAAGCTTTCAATTATTGTGAAAGAGCATGAAGATTTTCCAATCCATTTCACTTTACTATTTTCCTGAGTCCCTGGTTGTGGGTGTTCCTGTGATTACCTAGTGTGCTTATGTCTTGGATTTGTGTTTCCATGATGCTGTCATGAACCAGTTGTATCTGCCACCATATTATTGAAATATATATTGTGGAGCTGGTGTTTTCTAGCCTCTGGCTTTTGGCTCTTGGTCTGTAGACCCCCAAGCAACAGACTAAGACTGCTTGTTCTCAGACCTTCCTTCAGGAGCTTGCATGTGCTGAAGATGAAAAAAATAATTTTAAGCAATCCACTGTTTAATTGGGCAGGCCCTATTAGACTTGATATGTCTTTTCCGTTGTACATATTTCCACTATACATCCCAACAAACCCATGACCTCATTCAGATCTAAGTGGCCTTTTTGCCAACCCTTATCTTGCCTGGGTCTTCCTCACCCCTGAGAGACCTTTGACTCCATCCATCTGGCAGTTCTCTGTTAGTTCCCAACAGGTTGGTAGGTTGTCAGTGGACTCTTCTTGTTCTAGATTTGTAAATTTTTCAAGCTCTAGAACACTAATTCCAGCTGGCCTGGTAACCTTCTCTTCATTAAGTCTGATTTCTCTTCACTTTGCTTTTTCTTGAGTCACGGGCAGGTTCATTTCCTTATTATTAGCTGTAAACCAAATATGAATATACATCACATTAGAGTGAGCAGACCCAAAATATGTTTAGGTGTTGTAATGATCAGCTGAGAACATTCAGGATGCTAACCTTCATTTTCATATTCATCCTACTTCATCCATATGTTCTTTAAGCCACGTTCCTTCACCTGGGTCTGTATTTCCACTACTATATCAATGATTTTCTTCTGTTTTCCTGTTCCTGTAACTAATGCTTGTTGGACAAAGGGTATCACATCCAGGTTATATTATCCTGAGTTGGTGTATCAACAAAGGCAAGTTATAGCTAACTCCATCTCAGTTCCTACGTCACCTTAGTATCTTTCTCAAATCTCAGAAGGGCTAATTTAGTCCTTCATTTCACAAAGTTTGCAGGTTGGAGTTTTAATCAGCCTGATTTTACCAATAGATTGGGTATCTATGTAAGATTTGACACATTTTTTTTTATTTTGTATGCCTTTCCTACTTTCCACCTTGTCAAGATTAAGTGCTGTTTTGATCAAGTTTTGCTTGTGGCCTACTCATTTATGGTTCCTTCTTTTATGCAGCCCACTGTCCATAATATGAGATTGTCCCATTGGATAGCAGAAGTGTGTTATTGTCTGAAATGCCTGGTTTTCTCATTCCGTTCCCTTCATTGTGAATATTCTAGCATGATAATACGTGAGAAATAAACCTGTATTTAAACACTACATTTTTGAAGTGAAATGTGATTAAATTAACTGTTTACCTATCACATCATGGTCCTTCTCTTATTTTCACCCCTTTCACTTATTTGCCAGAGTTAACAGTTGCTTGTTGAGTTATGAGTAGAGTATCTGAAGGACCCTGATTGGCTAATAACTGATGGCATAGACTCTTTCTAAATATGTATGATTATTTTCAAGTTTTCACTTATATCCAAAGAAAAAATATAAGGGTATTATTATCGTAAGTTGTTAAGATATTGGTCAAAACATCACTAATCGTTTATCTCAGTCCTATCACTTCCTCTTTCATATGATTATCATGAATGAGGTTTGAGAGTAGTCCATTATGAGATGTGCTATTTGCCCTAACATGAAAGTGCCACTCATAGTAGACAATCATTTGTAGCAATACTTAACATATCCAGTTTGTCATCTTCTTTCTGCACACATTATGGTAACAGTTCTCTAAATACAGCCAGTAGAATTTGACAAGAGGTTTCTACTAATTGTGAATTAACAGCAGTAACTATGTTTTATGTTGGGGATTTGTTTTAAACTCATGAAAAACTTCAGTGCATTGTAAAGGAGAAAACATCTTTGTTTATAATTGAAATTGTAGAACTATAAGTGCTACAAAGAAATAACATATAAGTAGCATTATTATTTGAAAAATATTTCAGATATGCATAAGTGAAGCTTATGTGTATATATTTGCAAACATTTTTCATTGCAAGTAACTATTCTGTATAATACTAGAAGGTTCTATTTCAACTACATATATATATATATATATATATATATACTCCTACTATGTGAGGAAACTAG